ATCCAATTGACCTACCAGCATGTCTTTGGAGTGTGGGAAGAAAAACCAGAGTACCTGGCGGAAACCCACGCAGGCACAACGGGAGAACATGCAAAACTCTAGGCAGGTGATGCCGTGGCTGGGATTCGAATCAACGACCCTAGTACTGCCCAGGCGGAAGTGCTAACCATTTAGCCACTGTGCTGCTGTGTGTGTTTGTGTGTGCGCGCCCCATTTGACAACAAGTAATGCACATTTTATGCACATGTGCATATAGACGTAAACATTTGCATGCCTATACAGGTAGACCCTGGGTTACAAGGTTTGTTACTAATGGATAAGTTCACTTTAATAATATAAATAATAAATGCACATTTTTTGCAGGTAGAATCCTAACCCTTTTGTATTGTTGCTGTATTGTCTCCTTTATATCGTAAAGCGCTGAGCAAACTGTAGGCGCTATATAAATCCTGTATAATAATAATGTACATTTGGAAAGCATTGCACTAGAGATCAGCAGATCGCTGGTGACATGCAGGACTCCTGCAGACCTGTCAGTATAACTGCTTGCCCGTACATTCCATACAAGCAAGCTGATACACTGTGATAGGAGGAAACGCTCTGATGAACTACCACAGCACTCTCAGTGCCATGGTAGTTTGTTGAGAACTACAAGCTGACAGTTGCTAAGGAATGCAGTGAATGAGTGACACGGCTGGGTAGGCGGAGCTGACATAGCCAATTTTTTTTTTTTTAATTTTGACAGCGGAAGAAGATCCCCCGCTAGCTGTGGGAGCGGGGTCGGACTTTTCATAAAATGTTACATCTTGAATATGGGTGTAACATGACATAAAATGTGAACTTATCCTTTAAAAAAAGAAAAACCATCGGCACCTTTTTTTTTTTTTTTTCGAACGACAAAATGCAGAGAACCCTATTTATCTGTGTATAACCCAATATATTGGTGTATCACTAATGGATACTCAATCCATGGTTATGCATTACGTTGGACAGACACCAGCAACACAAGGCACCATGGCCACTACATGCAGCGGGGTCTGGAGGGGTGGCCAGGATACTTCGAGTTAGTTCACTTTTTAATTTTTCATGAAAAAGTGAACTTGCCCTTTAAGCGGTATTAAACCGAAAAGCAAACATTTTTTATAATGCAGCGTACCACTTCTTAGATGTGATGGCTGCATCAGTTTTTACCTTTCAGGCTTGATTTCTTTTAGTAGGGGAGCTTACAATGGTCAGCTTTTATTAATGTAAAACATTTATCCCAAAAAGAAAAAAAAAAGGTTGCTGTAACTGCTTATCAAGTGTTGGCTGGAATTTGGTCTCAATTTGTTTAGTGATTTTAAATTCGCTAACACTCCCCTCCCTCCAAACTGACAATTCTACTGTTCAAAGGTGCTTCCCGTGCCTTCATCCAGAGCGGGGGCACTCTAATACAGGAGGTGTGTTACTGGCCAGATAACCAGGTGAAAGCAGAAGGAAAAAATCCTTAGAAAAGAAAACTAATGCAGCCACCACATCCAATGATTGGTAAGCTGCAATGTAATACATTTTTAGTTTTGGGTTTAGTACTGCTTTAACAGTATTCCTTAAAGGAATTGAATCCACTTTGTGTTCACCAAATGCTTCTATGAGCCCAGATATTACCTTGTAAATGTAGCACTGACATCATGCCTGTGCTGCATCATGGCTGAGCTGTGGAGGGGACTCAGCAGGTGCTTCCTCTACAGCAAACTGGCGGCCCTCCAGCTGTTTCCAAACTACAAGTCCCATGAGGCATTGCAATACTGACAGTTACAAGCATGACTCCCAAAGGCAGAGGCATGATGGGACTTGTAGTTTCACAACAGCTGGAGGGCCGCCAGTTTGACACCCCTGCTCTACAGGATGCCTGCAGAAAGGTGATATTAGACAATATTTTCTTGTCCCCTATTTTCAGCTTTGACAGACGATGAATGCTTTTCTAATGCTGGTAAATGATGGTATGGCAAGTTTCCCTGACATTTTTCTCCATTTTTTGGTTAGCAATGTTTTTTTCCATTTGCTTTTAAAGTCCTAAGATGGCTTCAGCCGCCAGTGAGTTTTCAGTGAACGCCTCCTTTATAAAGGTTTTGTAATCTCTTTTCCTATTTCTGTGTATGGATAGATATGCAACAACCTCACTAACACCCCCTTCCCTCTCTCTGACCACAACCTGATAACCTTCTCTATCTCCTCGTCCTCCAAAGCCTACCCCTCCAAATGTCACACTACTACCAGCCGTAACCTCCGCAACCTTAATCCTGCCTCCCTCCACTCTGCAGCTGATCAACTCCACGACCGCATCCTCCCCTGTCCTGCCCCGACTTGGCTTTGACCCCGCCTACAACAACGCGCTCTCAACAGCCCTTGACTCACTAGCGCCTTTAACCACACGCAACATCAGACCCCGACCGCTCCAGTCCTGGCAGACTGATCACACCAAAACCCTCAAACGACAAAGTCGTGCCCTGGAGCGACTATGGCGCAAAACCAAATCCAAACAAGCCTTCACCCGCTACAAATCTGCCTTCCGCACCTACACCTCCTCCCTCCATGCTGCCAAACAGGCCTACTTCTTGACCCTCATCAAGGCCCTCTCCTCCAATCCTCGCCGACTCTTCTCTGCCTTCAACTCTCTACTCTCTCCACCCCCACCTCCACCCAGCACCTCACTCACTGCCCTTGAGATTGCCAATCACTTCAAAAACAAAATTGACACAATTCGCAAGGACATTGCCGCAACTCACACGCCCTCTCAACCTGTCCCCTCTCACACAGCTACCCCCTTATCCCCACTCCCCCTCGACTTAACCCGCAGGGATTTCGTCGCTGCTCAAACTCTCTCCAACCCCCTTCACCCTCACTCAGCTACCCCCTCATCACCCCTCTCTCCCACGGCCCCACCACTGCTCTGACCTCCTCTTCCACCCCACCCTACATTCCTCATACTGAAGCTCCCCCAACACTCCGCACCTTTGACCTTACTACCATCGAGGAAGTCTCCAAGATCCTCTCTGATGCCCGCCTCACCACCTGCCCCCTCGACCCTATCCCCTCACAACTCCTACGACCTTCCTCCTCCTCCATCCTACGCTCCCTCACCCACATCTTCAATCTCTCCCTCTCCTCAGGCACTTTCCCCTCCCCTCTGAAACATGCACACATCACCCCCATACTTAAAAAGCCCTCCCTGGACCCCAATGACCCGAACAACCTCAGACCCATCTCCCTGCTCCCATTTACATCTAAACTCCTCGAGCGCCTAGTCTACACCCGCCTATGCTCTCACCTCAACGACAACAACCTCCTCGATCCCCTACAGTCCGGCTTCCGTCCCCTACACTCCACCGAAACTGCCTTACTCAAACTCTCCAACGACCTGCTAACCGCCAAAGCTAACGGCCACTATTCAGTGCTCCTACTCCTTGACCTCTCTGCGGCCTTCGACACAGTCGACCACCCCCTCCTCCTCAAAAAACTACACTCCCTCGGCCTCAGAGATTCTGCTCTCTCCTGGCTCTCATCCTACCTGTCACAACGCTCCTTCAGCGTTACCTATAATGCTACCACCTCCCCCTCACTCCCCCTCTCTGTTGGGGTCCCTCAAGGCTCTGTCCTCGGGCCCCTTCTCTTCTCCATCTATACCTCCTCCCTTGGCCAAACTCATACACTCTCACGGCTTCAACTACCACCTCTATGCCGACGACACACAAATCTATCTCTCAACCCCCCACCTCACGCCCTTGGTCTCAGCCCAAATCACACACCTACTGAGCGACATATCAGACTGGATGTCGCTCCACTTCCTTAAATTGAACCTCTCCAAAACCGAGTTTCTTGTCTTCCCCCCAGCCCGGACACCACCCCCATTGATTTCTCCATCACATCCAACAACGCTACCATCAAACCCGCCCCGCAGGCCAGAGTACTGGGTGTCATTCTGGACTCTCCAACCTATCCTTCCAGCCCCAAGTCCAATCTTTAACAAACTCGTGCAGACTCCACCTCCGCAGCATCGCCAAAATCCGCACGTTCCTAACTCCAGAAACCACTAAACAGCTCATCCACTCCCTCATCATATCACGACTCGACTACTGCAACTCCCTCCTCACTGGCCTGCCTCGCCGCTGGCTATCCCCTCTTCAGTCCATCCTGAACACGGCTGCCAGACTCATTCACCTTTCCAACCGCTCTGTCTCCGCCACCCCCCTCTGCCAATCCCTCCACTGGCTTCCGATTGCGCAACGGATCAAATTCAAAATCCTAACGCTGACGTACAAAGCTGTCCACCATACTGCCCCGTACTACATCTCTGACCTAATATCCAAGTACCGCCCAACACGCACACTCCGCTCCTCACAAGACCTCCTTCTCTCTAGTTCCCTGGTCTCCTCCTCCCATGCCCGCCTCCAGGACTTCTCCAGGGTGTCACCCATCCTCTGGAACTCCCTGCCCCAACCCATCAGATTATCACCTAACTCTCTCTCCTTTAGGCGCACCCTGAAAACCCATCTCTTCAGGGAAGCCTACCCCACCCCCTGCTAACTTGCCGACCTCCTCCACTCTTCCTACCACTCCATCCCCCACAGCTATCTCCTCCTGTGCCACCACCCCCCCTCCCTCCTAGATTGTAAGCTCGAAAGAGCAGGGCCCTCGATCCCCTCATGTTTTGCATTGTATTGGTATTGTTCTGTCACATGTTCTGTCTCCCTTTGTAATGTACAGCGCTGAGCGAACTATTGGCGCTTTATAAATACTGTATAATAATAATAATAATAATATAATATGGGCCATTATGGTTGATTCGAGATCTGAATGGATCGACATATATGATCTGGTTACTTTTAAAGCATCATCTGAGATTCCACATGCTGAAAATAGTTCAGTGAGTTTGTTTTTTTGTTTTTTTTAAAACCTGAATTTCTTATAACCTTGTATATGAACTCTTTGTGCTTATTGGTTTTGGTTTTATGTCTTCCTCAGGATCTGTTGGATCATCGTGTACGTCTGGCAGTGGATCTGGGCTGCCCTTCCTGGTACAGAGAACAGTGGCTCGCCAGATCACCCTAGCAGAGTGTGTTGGTCAGTATCCATTTTCACTGCTGTGAGCTGTGGAACCTTTTCACAAAATTGTAGTAAATGGCCACGTGTCTGATTTTGGTTCTTATGTCAGACATTAAAATATTATCTTTACTTGACATAGGGGACACAACTGACATCTTGACCCCTTTTTTATCATTATGGTACCTGTCTTGTGTAAATTAAGATACATTGAGTGGACTTGAACCTGTTGCTGCCCGTATAACATATATGTCCAGTGGCAAAAGGGTGGGCTCTAATGCCCACACACCGCACATATACCTGAAAGCATGCTCACTGTGACAGCTCGGTTTGTGTGTACTGGGAGCACAAAGACCGCTCTTGCTCCTTCATAGCAGTTGGTAGCTGGCAGGACCAGCTTCTGATCATGTGACCAGCTTCTGATCATGTGATCATGTAACAACCACTCACAGTATTAACGTGATCATCGATCCTCTGTGCAGCACTGTGTAATGATTACACTTCATGTAAGATATGAATGAAAATGTTTGCAGCATGGGCCATAGATATCCTAATGGTGTAGTAAGTCTAGCATCTAGCCCTGGTATCTGGACCTTTTCTGACCATTTTGATACCCTAAGCTAGATGGATAGTATTTACATAAAATGCTTCAATCAAATATCACACATCACCAGTGATGGTCAAACTAGCTAAAGGGCCCCTATGTGACAACCATTTTTTTGGGCCCTCCTATTCAGCTGCCTAAGTAAAGACACCTATTCACAGGTTTATGGAAAGATGTAGGGGTTACTCCGTGTTCGGGATACTCCATGTTCTTGATGTCCATAATTTGCAACTGTGGTTAGTTGCCCTTGTCCTTTACTTCCTGTCAAAAGGCATCAAGAGGAGTTCCACATATCTCAGTGCTGATCTGGCAGGTAGTGATGGGAATTAAACACCACACTTGGACAGAACAGTTGGGGCATGACAAAAAATGTCCTGATACATCTTATGTAAATGGGTCCCCAAACTTGAGATACCCCTTGTACTGCTGGTGTACTCACCCCTGCACAGCATTGCTACCATTAAGGACCTCCATGGGGTGGATGGATGGCTTCGTCAAACACAGAGGGCCACATGCTGATTCAAAAACTGTGGCTCACCTGCTTGTTTTTAACCTTTCCCCTGTCTGAAAGCGCCCTTACTTTACAAAGTGTCGACCGGGTTTTAGGGTCATGTGACCGCCATGATTCGCCGTCATGGCAGTCACATGATTGGAAAAGGTCTCGACTGAAAGGGGAAATCGGGACCTTTCTGTGAGTCACGGACATATGTGCTGGGAGAGCGCAAATATGCGGCTGCTCGGTGTCAAGGCCCAGACACCGAGAGGTTGCATATCTGCGTGCGCTCGGTGTGAAGGGGTTAATCTCAGTATAAATACAGCTGTTTTGTGAATCCCTCAGAGGTATGTTAGAGAACATTAGTGAACAAATAACATCATGAAGGCCAAGGAACACACCAGACCGGTCAGGGATAAAGATGTGGAGAAGTTTAAAGCAGAGTTGGTTTATAAAAAAAAATCCCAAGCTTTGGACATCTCACAGAACACTGTTCAGTCCATCATCTGAAAATGGAAAGAGTATGGCACAATTGCAAACCTACCAAGGCATGGACGTCAGAGCTACAGTGGAATGATTTATGTCAAAGCATATTGATGTGTTAGAATGGCCCAGTCAAAGTCCAGACCTAAATCCAATTGAGAATCTGTGGCAAGATTTGAAAATTGCTGTTCACGGACGCTCTCCATCCAATCTGACAGAGCTTGATCTATTTTGCAAAGAAGAATGGGCACAAATGTCCCTCTCTAGATGTACAAAGCTGGTATAGACATCCCCAAAAAGACTTGCAGCTGTAATTGCAGCAAAAGGTGGTCCTACAAAGTATTGACTCGGGGGGGCTGAATACAAATGCACGCCACACTTTTCAGATATTTATTTGTGAAAAATTTTGAAAACCATTTATCATTTTCCTTCCACTTTACAATTATGTGCCACTTTGTGTTGGTCTATCACATAAAATCCCAATAAAATACATTTACGTTTTTGGTTGTAACATGACAAAATGTGGAACATTTCAAGGGGCGTGAATACTTTTTCAAGGCACTGTATATTAAAATTCAACAGCTACAGTATTTTGTATTTACTGACTTTTTTTTTTTTTTTTTTTTTCAAAAAGGCTGAAGAGCCTGTTTAAAACTATCGCATAAAATTTCAGGCCAATATTTACCCAATGAGTCAGAACCACACTGGATCATGCCAGTTTTTTGGGGGTCTAAAACTGATACAACAGCTAGTGGCATCTTAGGTATTCTATGACTAGACATGGGCCTTTTAGGAAGCCCTTTTTGTTTTTGACTCTTAAGTTGACCTGCATGTCTGATGTACCAGGAACACAAAGGCTGCATTATATGGCCTCAAGGGAAGAAGGTCACCCCTGGGAAGGCAAAGCTTAGTACAAAAGGTCTTGTGTATTCAGGTTTGTGTCACTGCCGTATACCTAGGAGGGTTTTCCCATTGTGTAAAGCACTGACATTTTAATGAGTGTCAGTTTAAAGCATTCTTGGCTGAATGTTTAGGATTTACCTACATGGAGTGATGATGTAAAATGCATTACCATTCAGTGCCTTCAGAAGTATGGGCTCCTGCCAGGAGATTCAATTTACAGTGTAGGGTCCCCATTAGAGCCGATTGTCTTTCAGCTGCTCCTATTAAAGTCTCCCTTCAGTTTTTGTTTCATGTGCAGATCAAGGCAGGCACACACAGCTGTGATAGCAGCAGCTTCAGACAACAAGTAAAACCAGCCAGTGAGCCCATACTACTGTCCAGCAAGTGCTGCAATTGTGCAAGAGTCAGAAAGGCATCTTGGTTTATAGTGGGTACACTTTATCCCTTCATTTATAAAGCGTGTCAAAATGTGAAATCAATTATTTCCTCATTGAATTTCAATTCTTTCTAGCCTGCTCCTATTTACCTGAACAATTTTAAAGTATGCCCTGTGAATATGCACTGATGTGTCACACATTTCTCAGAGCCTGCCTTCTGAACTTCTGGGAAGCAGAGTCTACAGGAATTGCTGATTGCGGGCAGCAGGGTTCCTTAATTATGTACTGTAGTCCTTAGAAATAGAATGTAAACTAAATTAATAAGTATAGGAGAGGCTGCAAGGCATGCAGGGATTCCAGAAGTTGCAGAAAGAGATGGCCTACAGACAGGCAGAACTCACTACATGAAAAGAGACAGTACAGGACACAGGCTTGATACTCCTAGACCCTGGGTTACAGGCTGGTACTGTTAGGTGATGGGACCTCCTCTTCCTTAGTCCCCTTTCACGTGGGCAGACCGATTAGGTCCGTTTGTCCATTTTTCAGGCAGACCCGATCAGATAGTCCATTGTTTTTTAATGGGGAGATGAATGTAAACGGACATTTACACCCACCTACATCTGATCTGCTAAAAACAAACAATGGGGGATCCAGTCCCCATCCATGTAAAGGATCGGATGTAGATTAACAGGTGGTCAGTTTACTTCTAACCCCCTCCTAGAGAACAGTGGGCTGTGTCCATGTCTGTTTTGCACAAGCAGAGCAGACACGGACCTGTCATCTGTCTGTTCAGCGAGAATCAGTGGACAGATCCCCCACTAAGCAGGCGGATACGTTTACCAATGTCTGCCTGTGTGAAAGGGGCCTAATGCAGAAATCATTCTTTGCTTAAAATAGAATTCCATAAACCTAACTAGTCTCCCTCCCCCCTACTAACCTATGCTGACTAACCTATGTAAGAAAGAAGTGTATACTTACCTATTTACAGTGGCAGTCCTAAGGTCATTGGTTCAAATCCCAGCCATGGCACCACCTGCCTGGAGTTTGCATGTTCTCCCTGTGCCTGCGTGGGTTTCCTTCGGGTATTCCGGTTTCTTCCCATGCTCCAAAGACATGTTGGTAGGTTAATTGGCTCCTGTCTAAATTGGCCCTTGTATATGTATGAATGTAATTTAGAGACCTTAGACTGTACACCCCTTGAGGGTTAGGGGCCGATATATATATATATATATATATATATATATATATATATATATATATATTTAGCGCTGCGTAAATTGACAGTGCTATATAAGTACCTGAAATAAATAAATACATTCTCAGCCCATTCCAGTCCAGTCATGTGATCCGGCTTCCCTGCATCAGTTGTAGTTTCAGGAAAGAATCTCTGCCAACAGACGGACCATAGTCACTTATGGGTGTTGTCACTGCTGCAGGCTTTACCAGTGTTGTCTTTAATTTAATGGTGTTGTCATTGCCCAACCAGCCAATCAAGAAGCCTGAAAACCTGGCACCTGGACGTATCCAGGGATAAGAGGACAGTGCCCTGTGAGGGATTTAAAGTAGTTTTAAAGCCAGAAGGTTTTTCACATTACTGCATTCTATGGGCAGCCATCTTGTTGCTCACCGCAAGCTGCCACCTACTGCCCGGCGCACCTGTCAACAATCCCACATCACTGCATGGCCAATTAACCCTTCCCTATGCTATCCAAAACTTAAAAATATTTTTTTGTCCTGGACACTTAAAAAAAATAAATAAAAAAATGTACCTGTTCCAACTTGCATACAAATTCAACTTAAAGGATAAGTTCACCTTTCATACCATGTTACACCCATATTCAGGGTGTAACATATAGCATGTTATAATCAGACCGGTCCCCGCTCCCCCCCTTTGACAGCTAGCGTCAACATCTTCTCCCCCCTCGCTAGCTGTCAAATTTGTAAAAAAAAACATGGCAGGGCGGGACTTCGCCCTCCTGGCCACGTCACTCATTCATGGTGTTCTGTGAATGAGAAGCTACAAGTCCCAACAGCATTAGCAGCTGTCAGCTTGTAGTTCTCAATAAACTACCATGGCGCTATGATAGTTTATTGAATCTTCCTATCAGTATATCTGCTTGCTCGTACATTCCGTATTGGCAAGCGGAAAAACTGACAGGTCTGCAGGAGACCTGCATGGCACCAGCGATCTCCTGATGATTTACAAGCTCCTGCAACAAAACAACTGCACGTTTTTTTTACCTGCAAAAAAAAAAGTGCATTTATTATTTATATTATTAAAGTAAACTTATCCTTTAGGAAAAAAACCTACAGAACCTATCTTGTTCATAACCCGGGGTCTACCTGTGTAGGCATACAAATGTCTACGCCTATATGCATGTGTACGCAAGGTTTTTTAAGGAACAGTTTACTCAGGCTCTATCAATAAAATTCTGAGCATAAACATCAGTAAATTCTTACATCTGTGTGCAAGAGGCCTAACAGTGAACCTTTAGCTACAAGAAACCTATGTAGTGGCATAAGCAGCAGTTGCTGCAGAATGTCTAGCTAGCACTGATGATAGAAAGCTTGAGCGCAAGACATTGTATTATGGAAGGGGGAGGGGGGTCTAGTCACCACCACTAGTAGGAATTGGGGTGACACTTCTTGCTGCAGATATATTCTGTCATCTACCTCCTGCTGCCGTTAGCTTTGTTGTATTCTTTAAGCCACAGGTTTGCTTTAATCAGTGTCAGACAATGCATCCTCCCATCCTCATTCCTTCTCTGTCCTCTTTCTACTGAATGCCTTATTGATCATTGTACAAAACCAGAAAGTGTGAATTGAAAACTGATCAAAAACAAAATAATGGGCTGTAGATTTTTTTTTAAATATCTGCTTTCCTTGTCTACAATATGAAAAAAAAATGAACCACCTGTTGTATTTTTAGAATAGGAAGAAAAAAAGCTCGGAATGAAGACGCAAAGCCACATAAATTGGCAAAAATGTGGACCCAGATTGTTTCCTTTTTTATTTTTTAACAAAATCAGATATTAATCAGATCCCTTCCTCATGCACTGTATACCCAGTGGCAGATTATATTAATGGTAGGCAGCTGCTGGGGGGCCCCTGACCCTATGGGGGGCGGCAGTGGAGATGCTAAAAAGGTTTTGGATATAAGTACTGTTTATACTAAGTCAATTTCAGCTTTAAAAGTCTTAAGTAAGCTATACACGGTTTAAAGTAAAATTCCGGGATTTTATGAACTTTGCTTAAAAATGCTCCCTCTCCCCTCTTGACACCTATACTAACTACTGTAGTAAAGAACAAAAAACCGAGCGCACCAACCTTGCGCATTACCTCAATAGGCAATTAATAAATTTATTGATAAGAAATATGCTCACAAGAGATAGAAAAGGCATGTAACAACGAAACACTGGGTTAGGAGATACGTGCAAATCCCATCAGAAAGGGAGATAATCTCTTGGTCAAGTTGACGTGTTTCGAAGGGGGAGGGGCCTTCTTCCTCAGCTGTATTGAGGTAATGCGCAAGGTTGGTGCGCTCTGTTTTTTTGTTCTTCACTACATTTGGTATCGGGCTTCCCCAGCTTTGTGTTTGAGCCGCACAACCTTTGATCAGTGTTGGATGAACATTATACTTCCATTGTATTATCATATTGTTCGATTGGCCTTTCTCTGATCTGGGTCTCTGAGTGCAGGAGGTGTTGGATTTGTACATATACTAACTAACCTTTTAGAAAAAAACTAAAGATGTCTATGATTGCCTATTTTCAAGCTGCTCATGTCTGGTCACATGATCAACTTGCCTGTGTCAGGCAGCGAAGAGGAGATGGCTCTGACAACGGATGGGCCATAGTAAGTATATGGGGGGCATCACTGCTCAGGCATTACCAGCCATTATCGAGCATGCTCTCCTCTCCCTTGTAGCCACCGCTAGCTGACACAGGAGATCATGTGACTGGACTGAAGCGGTCTGAGAGTAAGTATATGACCTATTTTATATATTTACACGGGTTTGTTAGTATAGGTCAGCCTTTTTCAACTTTTTTAGCATGGAGGAACCCTTGAAATATTTTTTTGGCTTCAGGCAACCCCTGCTATTATATTTACAGCTCACAATGGGAAGAATGCTTCTTAGGCTACGTTCACACTAGCCTTGTCAGCAAGCGGCAGACAGGCAGTTGGGAAGCGTTTTTACCATTTTCCAAACGCCTCGGAAAATTCTGCACATTGCAGCACATAGTGCTGTTCACACGGGAGTGTCACGGCAAAACGGACGCCTCTGGTCAAGTCAAAAGGAGTTGAAGCCTCCTATTCAAGTCTATGGTGCCGCTCCGCAAATGCCTGGCCGGCGTTTGCGGTGCGTTTGCGAGGCGTTTGCGGAGCGTTAACACCATTCAAACTTCATTATAGGCGTTTGTGGGGCTTTTTTAACGCTTAGCAACCGCCGCTAAACCGCGCATACAGAGTTTTTGGAGCGTTAAAAACACTCCGCAAACGCCGAATGAACGCTTATCAGACGCTATAGGGGCGTTTGACAAGAGTTGGAAAAAAAGTCAAGTGTGAACGAGCCGTTACATCTGTGATCACTGGGAAGAATATCTCCTTACAGATGGATAAAAAGATCATTGGTGTCAGAAGGAACTTTATGAAAGGTAGAAATTGCTCATTTCCTGAGGAACCCCTAGCAACCTCTGGAGGAACCCTGGTTGAGAAACCCTGGGTTAGGTGTTAGGAGGGGGGGGGGGGGTGCGTTTGTAAAGGATACGTTCACCTTTAGTAACACGTTACACCTTTTTGTATGATCCTATTAAATTGCTGGAGAGACCTATAAGTTGGAACCCAAGGTGCAATGACCCCAAAGCCGGGCTTTAACGTCACAATTTTGTTAGCTGACCATTGATATGATTTTTTTTCCAATAGGTAAGGGCCGTTACGGTGAAGTCTGGCGTGGCCTCTGGCAAGGCGAAAGTGTGGCAGTAAAGATTTTTTCGTCACGAGATGAAAAATCCTGGTTCAGAGAGACTGAATTATACAACACAGTGCTGCTGAGACATGAAAATATTCTAGGTAAGCCTTTCATAGCACTTACGCACACCTCCTTGTACACACATTCCCTTCCTGATGTAGACTAGAGGCTTTGCTGTATTAAGTCCATGGCATCCGGAATGCACAGACACATCCTACTGTCTGCTGTCCATGGAATAGAGCCTGCTGCCAGTGGCAGGGAATTCTTGGCCAAGCCTTTGAGAACACTGTCAAATGATCAGTTTGGGACAGTGCGGATTTAATTAGCAATAGGGCCGTCCTGCATTCTCACCAGATGGCAACAGCGGCGTGGAATGCAGGACAGCTACTTGTTACTTGTTTTAGTAACTGTTTGATAGCAACTTCTGTTAATGGAAAAGTACCGCTCTGCCGCTCTGAGGGACTTGGCTGTGTCAGTCTAATGTACATGAAGACTTCGGTGTAACTTGTTCTGTAAGATCACAGCCATCTCTAAGACTTGATTTCAGTCATACGTGCCATGCCTTGTTAGAGTTCACTTAAGGATATGGTCAGTTAAAGGTCCAGTCCACCCAAAACTGATGTTTTGAGCAATGCTTTGTTGCTGGCTTCTTTAAAGCTGAACTAATGGCAGATATAAAAGACACAAATTAAGGCAGAACTGAGTTCAGTAATACATAACATTTTTATAAGCAGACTAGGTAAGTACCTGAATTTTTCCTACCAGCCTCTTGCAATCCTCTGTACAGCAAAGCTCAGACGGCATAGATAGAAGCAGCTGCAGGAGCCAATCGGCTGCTGTACATTTGTGCTTACAATTTGCATACTGATGGTAGGAGAGTGCAGAGTGACAGATGAGCTCATCACTGCTGCTTCTCCTTTGTTGCCAAAGCACAGGCTGGTGGAAGAACAAGACCTAGTTATTAGAAATACCAGGTCCACCTGTCCTGCCAGAAAGGGCTGTGCTGTGTAAGGCTATGTTCACATGTCTGCGGCTGGGTAACTGCGGCAAAAGTGTGTGCGTTCCCGACCAGCAGAGAAATGTGCTGCACTTTAGTAGACCGTGGGTGTTGCTATATTGATTCTTAAAGGTTCACCCACTGCTCATTTTTACATGTGCCAGACCACAAGGTACCACAGCACCATGTAGCTTGATGCGGCACAATTTTTATAATTTTTTTTCAGACTTTATTTCCCCACGTTTATCATGGATAGGGCAGCCCATTGAAATGATTGGGCTGCTCTACCCACACCATGTGTGTGCAAACGCACATGCACAGATCTGAAGGGAGCCCTAATCTCAAAACTGGATGGACAGAAATACAAATACTTTGGCAGGTAAGACAGCTGATCTGTATGTATAGTTATGTATTAGCTGATTTCCTTGAGTTTATCTTGCAGATGGTAGCCTCTATAAACGTATAGTACACAACTATATAGAAATATATCCGCTTGCTGACCGTATCATGAGGATGTATGGTGGCAAAGCGACCTCTCTGCGCTCAATCATGTTTCTGAGACATGAGCCAGCTCTTCCGCATAGGGGGCATGCGCACCCACCGTCCCAACTCCCAACTTTGTGATTGGTAACAGCACAAATCGATCAGAGAGTCCCAGCCAATAATTAATGGCCAGGACCTGCCGATTGACGAAGCAGGTGACAGAACAGAGCTCTGTGATTGTTAACAACACTATCAGATTTTAGTGTACTGAGTGAATGTCACATTTTTTAATTTCCTGCCGGTTCCGTCCCCCGTGTGTCCCGTTCGTCCTGACGCTCGCAGGGAACAGAACCTGGAAGACGGATGGATGCTGGCATCGGCTGGAGGACATAGCCGGGGACGCTGCAGGGGGGACTTCGTGGGAGCGCAGGACAAGGTAAGTGATATAGGGAGAAGCGCTGCAGAGTATTCCCGAATGTAGCTCGGGGTTACTGCTTTTGGTACTGAAAGTTAACCCCCAGCTACATTCGGCAATACCGCCAGGGAGGTTAACGGTCTCTGTACAGTGGCCAGCGACGTGTGCCTCCTGTCAGTAATAGGACGCACTTGCCACTCATTACTGCGTGTAGTACCGCCATACTAGCATCCTTTTTTTATACCTGTAAAATTAAAAGTCCTGGTTTTGACTTGACCGCCCCTCGTATATACAAATATATATTACAGACACTAAGAGAAGAGAGAGAAATCGTTTTTCTAATTGTATTTTTGGTTGAACTGAACTTCCGTAATAGATGTTATCATCAAGTGACATTTGCCTTTATTGCTGGCAGTTTGAATTTGGTTTACTGAATCGTTGCCCTCCTGGAGTTTCCCTTTTTTGGCTGCTTTTGTTTCCGGAAACACGCATTCCAGACATTTTGTTTTCTTTTCCATCTCATTGCACGCGGTGTACCTCGCCTGTAAATGTTTGCATGTTGAGACAGCAGTGCAGCAAAGCAGAGAATTGTTCCTTGCACTGAGATGGGCTGAACAGCTCCTAGCCGGATACATGGCGTCCCCGTAGAGGATCTGCTCAATTGGGTGTACATCCACAACGCCTGGGGCTTACTTTCTGCATTCCATATAATTTCAGTTCCTTTTTCTTGACGGTTTTACAAGCACATTCTTACTGTCTAGGCAAGCTCCTTTTTTTTTTTTTTTTTTTTTTTGTTCGGCGGGTTCTCACATTTTAATAGCTGGATTATGTTTAACACCACGCGTACCAGTAAACAGGAGGTGAGGAGCCGAATGAGTCTCTACTTGACACATTGCACAATGCTCTAATATTGCAGTGCTGAGCTTAGGTAAGAGATTATCCGTGTGAAAGAGAAAAGGGTGGTTCTAGTACGGTTACTTTTTATTGTCTGTTGTTTATTACCAAGCTTTAAAAACTTTTCATTCTTTAATTCCCTGGTGCCCAACCTGAGGTCCTTTGGCACTTATTGCATGGCCCTTGTAGACAGTCTGTGTTTTGGTTCTCACCCAGTGAAGGAAACATTTCTCATTAGCATGGCTTCTATTAGCTTAAAGTGTTACTAAACCCACAACAGTAAAATCAGTCTGTATATGTAGTAAAGCACATTTGTTATACTCCCTGTGGAACCTACGGATTTAATCTTCTGCATTGTGTAAATATGCAGTTTGGTCCTGACTTCTCCGATCCTCCCCTTCTTCCAGTGTCCCCCTCTTATCTCCTGATAAGACATATCATGTGGAGTCTCTCTGCACATGCTCAGTTTGGTGTGTGTATTGCTAGAGAGGTTTGTTTTTTTTTTCTTTGGAGAGTGCATGCAATCAGCACAGGGCCAATCAGCACTGTCCAGACACAGGTTAGGGGTTCTGCATCCTAGAGCAAAATGAAAACTACAAACTTTAACCAGTGCTCTGCTGAAGACTGATAGAAGTCACAAATCTGCTCTAACTGCTGATGAGAAAAGGTATTTAGGAGTTTATATTTACTAAAATATTTGAATTTCCATGTTCTGTGTACTGTGGAAGACCAGATAAACTGAACGCAGGGTCCTGGGTTTAGTAACATTTTAATGGTTTGGGGTTTTTTTCACACTATATTTTTCCATGCTAGCCATGTACTTTTTATGTTTTTATTTTCCCTAATTTTTTACAGCAATTTTGCAAGGAAATATTGTTTTTAAAGGGTCTGTAGGGAGCACACATAGAAGCATTGCTTTGTAAAGGGGCTGCAATAGCAGTGATCTTTAGCAGTCTTATGTAACGTGTTGCCAGTTTGTAACTGCCCTTAAAGTGGTTCGAAAGGCAGAAAGGTTTGCTTTTACCTTAGAGCAGGGGTCTTCAAATTTTCAAAGGTCCAGTTTACTATCTTTCAGACTAGGAGGACCGGTTTGAGGTCAGTGGGGGTAGAAAATGTCCTAGGCCCAGCAGTAGTGAAAATAAACATGGCCTCAGGGTTGCAGGTCAGTAGGAGGAAGAGTAGTACCCATCCTTGGTATTAGTGGGAGGAATTGTACCCCAGCATTGGTACCAGTGGAATAAATAGTGCCCCATTGTTTGTGTCAGTGGGAGGAATAGTGCCCCAAGGGCCAGATAAGGGCTTGGAGACTCCTGTCTTAGAGGATAAGTTCACCTTTCATTACATGTTACACCGTATCCAGGATGTGACATATTTTTTAAATAAGCTTCCGCCTGGCAGCACTAGGATCGTTGATTCGAATCCCAACCACAGCACTACCAGTTTACATTTTCTCCCTGTGCCTGCGTGGCCTTCCTCCGGATACTCCGGTTTCCTCCCACACTCCAAACACCTGCTGGTAGGTTAATTGGATCCTGTTTAAATCGACCCTAGTATGTGTATGTATGAATGTGAGTTAGGGACTTTAGATTGTACACCCCTTGAGGGTTAGGGACTGATGTGTCTATGGGAATGTTTGACCATTCTTCCAGAAGCACATTTGTGAGGTCAGGTACTGATGTCAGATGAGAAGTCCTGGCTCACAGTCTCCGCTCTAATTCATTCCAAAGGTGTTTTATCGGGTTGAGGTCAGGACTCTGTGCAGGCCAGTCAAATACCTCCACCCCAAACTCACTCATCCATGTCTTTATGGACCTTGCTTTGTGCACTGGTGCACAGTCATGTTGGAACAGGAAGGGGCCATCCCCAAACTCTTCCCACAAAGTTGGGAGCATGAAATTGTCCAAAATGTCTTGGCATGCTGACGCCTTAAGAGTTCCCTTCCCTGGAACTAGGGGGCCAAGCCCAACCCCTGAAAAACAACCCCACACCATAAACCCCCTCCACCAACTTTACACTTGGCACAATGCAGTCAGGCAAGTACCGTTCTCCTGGCAACCACCAAACCCAGACATGTCCATTGGATTGCCAGACAGAGAAGCGTGATTGGTCCAGAGAACACATCTCCTCTGCTCTAGAGTCCAGTGGCGGCATGCTTTGCACCCCTGCATCTTTGCATTGCACTTGGTGATGTAAGGCTTGGATGCAGCTGCTCGGCCATAGAAACCCATTCCATGAAGCTCTCTACACACTACTGTGTTTATTTGAAGGCCACATGAAGTTTGGATGTCTGTAGCTATTGACTCTGCAGATAGTTGGCGACTTCTGCGCATTGTGACTTCAGTATGTGCTGACCCCATTCTGTTATTTTACGTGGCCTACCACTTCATGGCTGAGTTGCTGCTGTTCCCAGTTGCTTCCACTTTGTTATAATACTACTAATAGTTGACCGTGGAATATTTAGTAGCAAGGAAATTTCACGGATGGACTTATTGCAGTACCAGGCGTGAATTCACTGAGCTCCCGAGAGCAACCCATGAAAGTGATTGGAACACCTAAACCAAGTGATTTGAAGGGGTGTCCCAATACTTTTGGTGTGTGTCTGTGTGTTTTTTTTTGTAAAGGTGGACTTATCATTTGATACTTTCTCTGCATTGAGGTAAAAAATAATCCTGTATCTAGTTCCCCCATTTTTATAGTAGCAAGGGGCGCTACATAGGCAGATTAATTTCTAATCAGAACTTGAAGGAATGCAAACATAATGAAAACATTATTAATGCAGTGTACAATACATAGGCAAAGCATACAAAACGGAATACAATTTTATACAGAATTTACAAATTTCCTTTACAGTCCCTTTGGATATTTTTGCATGAGCTGTCGTGATCGGCTCTTGAAAGTTGTGTATGAATGATCAGATTATTGTACGAATGCTCCAAAAGCATTTAATTGTTGGATTTGTTCATCGTGTGTACCAGGCTTTGGGTAGAGCTAACGAAATCATTGGTGTCAGGTGTCAGTGGTTACCTGTCTCAGAAGCTAACCCGCCCCTTTCCACCGGCTGACTCCTGAGTGGTGTCAGTGCCAGAACTTGGCAAGCACATCCAGACAGATCAGTCCACCACTGCATAACCCTTTTGTGACCACAGGGGTTTTTTTTTTTTTGTGCATTCTTTATAAGGTTTACAAGATTCTTTTATAAGGTTTGTCTTTACAAAACAAAGAAAAACAAACAAATCGAACAATCCATTGCATATGCTACTTAGGTGTCACAGGTTTTTTTTGAAGCTTAGACACCCAGACCATTCTCAGCAGCATTAATATGCCTCAGTTAAGTAACAGTAACTTTCTGAATAATGTTTCTGAACAACTGCAGATCAGAGAACTAGAAGCACACACAGTTGCACATTTCATTGTTTTCTGCTACAAGGTTAATTAAAGTTCACCTTTTTTTTTTTTTTTTTTTAGAAAAAATAATAAATGCAAATATTTTTGCAGACAAAATGTGCATATATCTTTTCCTGCAGGAGCCTGGAAGGCATTGCTCCTATGATCAGTGGATCAGAGGTGCAGTATCAGGCTTCTGCAGACAAGCCCTGTAGATTTCAGCCCGTACCTTTTTATACAGGCTGTCAGTTTGAAAGCTGCATGACTTGTGAATGAACTACAAGGACACTCATTAGCACCTTTTGAAATTCATTCAGAACTGCAAGCTGCCTGCTACAGTGGCCAACAGTACTTGTAGTTCATTCACAGGCAATTGGGAATGAACGATGTGGCCGCGTTGACGGAGCCTTCATAGCCACGTTGTTTTTGAATATTGACAGCGGGTGTGGTGAAAAGAACCCTCGCCCACTGTCACACTGAGGCAGGGGGAGTCGGAGGGAGAGGCAGCAGGAGCTGGAACAGGTTACATGTTCCACCCTAAGTACGGGTGGAACACGCAAAATGTTCCACCCTAAGTACGGGTGGAACACGCAAAATGTTCCAAAAGGTGAACTTATCTTTTAACTTTTCACAGCTATGGGCGTTGTGCATTTGGACTTGTAAAGACATATTGGGGTCACAAAGGAGTTAAGGAGCCTCTGGCCACTTTGGGAAGAATCCTAGGGTTCCACGCATCCCAGGTGGAGATAGACTAGTCTATAGGATGGCAAAGCAGTGCCATGAGAAACCACAGCCAGGCTTTGCTGTGCTGCACAGAACAGTCTAATGGAGTAATGGATCTTCATTCTCCAGTCAACATGCTGTGAGCAGGTCTGTGATCAACCTAGGTTGCTTAAAGAGTAACTCCACTTTTCCTGAGGCAAAATAAAGCATTCCCCTCTGGGTGATCTATGTACATTGCTAGGATTTGAACAAACTTTGTATCAGATTTCTACCCGTTTCTGTTGTTTAAGAGAAAAGCTGTATGTTCAGCCGAGTCCTTGGAAGGCTAATTTCTGAATGGGAGTGTGTTCATTCTAATCAGCTAATGCACTAATGAGGAAAGCTGCAGTGTCTGCATCCCTGCAGAAATAAATAACCCTCAGGCTCCATGTACACGGGACAGTTGGAAAACACTTCTGAACGATAGAAACTGACTCCTGGAAAATGTAGGTTAAAAAACGTCTGTTTACCTGCGTTTGCGAGCGTTTGTGTTTTAGAAGCATATTTTAAAGATAACCTCAGGAGACCTTCCAAAATGCCCAGAATGCACTGAAAAACAGTAAAAAATTAACCATTTCAGACATCTTGAGAGAAATGGAGAGAGCAGAAGCAGAGAGAGCAGCATGTGTTGAGATGACCTGTCTTTTTTGGTTGCATTCACTATGGATCCCATCATGAGCATAATGCGGCACGTTCTACCATCTTTTCCTTCACGCAAAACCTGGAACTGACTGCGCTGGTGTACTAGGTCCATTTGAATACATGGAAAACGCTTTGCATGAATTTCTGATGATGAAAAAAGGCTCTGGACAGCATCTGGATATGGAGCAGTTAAAAAACGCTTAAAAACGCAGTTAGCCGCGTTTACAAGTGTTTGGCACGCTGGTAAAATCTCCTGAACGCAAGTTTGGTGTGTTAATAAAAATGACTGTAAACGAAGATGTGTACATGGACACATAGGAAAACATTAGGGAGAGTTCAGGGGCTGCTGAAAAAAAAAAACCCAGCAGAAAAGCTCCTGAATGTGAGTTTATCAGCTGTAGTGTACATGAGCCCTTAGGGAATGACTCAACAAAAATATAATTCTTATTGCAGAAGATGCCTAAAGTTTTACTTGTATCTTAGTGCAAACTTCTGGGAAAAACGTTGAGGAAATGACATTTCTGAGGGTGTTCCAAATACCAAATGTGTATAGAAGGCCTCTAGATTGCCATATTGCATTGAAAATATTAGAAAATTACAGCAGCTGCAGATTGAAAATGAAATGTCATTTTAGTAGCATTCTGTTACAGTATGACTTGTGTAGCATTTGTCTATTCCATATTTCTTTTTTTGTTATATTTTTTTTTCTCTTATGCAACGGAGTTACCCTTTAAGTGCGGTGGCACAAAATTGCGATCATTGAAGTCCATGTTACAGGGGTTCCCTGGATTAGAGGACAGGCTGAACAGAATTACAAATGGCTTTTAATGTGCTTTTAGATATTTGCCTGCAGATCAACTTTAAAACAATTAATCATATGAGCCACATCTGTCTTCATTACATGAGATTTGCACATTTAATTAGTTGGATTTATTCTTGATTGGGCTTAACAGGTTTGTCTAGCACATTAAACTGGACACAGCTACAGTCTGTGAAACAAATTAGCACTTAAAGCTACTGAAGTTTTCTCTTGCTTGTGACTTGCAGAAGCTGCCTCATTGGCTCTATCATTCAGCTGTCTGTCAGAATTGATTGTCCCTGACGTGTCCCTCCTTTCTTTTGTCTGGTGAAGGTTTTATCGCCTCTGACATGACTTCCAGAAACTCCAGCACTCAGCTGTGGCTGATTACTCACTATCACGAAATGGGATCTCTCTATGATTACTTGCAAGTAACGACTTTGGACACTGTAACGTGCCTTCGCATCGTCTTGTCTATTGCCAGCGGACTGGCACATCTACACGTAGAGATATTCGGCACCCAGGGAAAGCCGGCCATTGCTCACCGAGATTTGAAGAGCAAGAACATCCTTGTGAGGAAGAACGGCCAGTGCTGTATAGCAGATCTAGGTAATCTGGTGTTTTTGTTTTTTTGGGTTTTTTTTTCCCCAGGTCAAACCAAATTCACAAACATGGCTTTATTTCAATTATTGGGTTTAATTAAAGCAGATCTGTCATTACAGAAGTTTAAGTGTCATCGTTGCCTCTCTACAAATGCTGGTGTGCCTGTGTTCAAGAGCAAACAAAAGGCTGAAACGTTTGGAACGGAAAGGAGGAAACCGCAAAGTAGTTAAAGCGGAGTTCTATCTGAAAAAAAAAATAAATAAAAAAAGTCAGCAGCTACAAAAACTGTAGCTGCTGACTTTTAAAATACAGCCACTTACCTGTCCCTCGGTCCAGCGCTGTCCTCACTATCGCTGGTTTCACCGGCTGTCTTCTCTCCCTGGCGCCGGCATCTTTAGTGTGAGCACCCGGCTGTGACAGCTTGTGGATTCAGCTTTGTGAATGGTTCTGTAGTCTTCTGGGACCTATCACATGTCCCAGAAGACTACGGGAAGGGAGGGTGGGGGTATACCTGGGTGAATGAGGCCTTGGTTGTAAGCACCCTGACATCATTGCATACAGTGCAAGACCGTAGTCCTGTGCTGTGAGGGTGCTGAGGGCCCCCCACAAATCAGAATATAGGAGAGAAGAGAAGAGCGAGGTATAAGGTAAGTATAGTTGCGTTTTCTGTTCTTCCTAGACAAAATGAACATTTAACCTTTGCAGTGCTGGGGTAGCCCGGCTGTATGTTTCATTTATTCTTTGTAAAGCTGAACTGTCTGAAAAGCAATAATGAATCATGTAGTGATGACCTGTATCAAAGGAGAAGTAGTTGGGATGGTGAGAAAACATACAACGATCAGCCATAACTTTGACCACTGACAGATAAAGTGAGTAACATTGATTATCTCTTTACAATGGCATCTGAAAGCTGTTGGGATATGATAGGCAGCATGTTCTCCCTGAGTAAGCTCCAAGGAGCAGGGCCCTCCTAAGCCTTTTGTATTGAACTGTATTGTTGCTGTATTATCTCCCGTTATTATTATTATTATTATTATACAGGATTTATATATCGCCAAAAGTTTGCTCAGCGCTTTACAATATAAAGGGAGACAATACAGAAATTTCAATACAAGAGGGATAGGAGGTTCCTGCTCCTTGGAGCTTACAATCTAGGAGATACTGTAAAGCGCTGAGCAAACTTGTTGGCGCTATATAAATCCTGTATAATAATAATAAGTTGATGTGTTGAAAGCAGAAAAAAAAATGGGCATTGCAAGCTTTCAGGGTGCCATAAATGGACAATGAGAAGATGCGCTGGTTTCATAGTATTCAAAACCTCTAAAGAGAAACTTCAAGGTCAATACTAGTTGGTGATCCGGGAGTCCCTAATCAACAATACAATGGTAAACTGAACAAAAACAGTTATGGACTCAACCAGGATTAGTGGGTTTTTGTAATATACCTATATTAAATAATGGGGCTGGTGGTCAAAGGCACATAAAGGAGTCTAATAAAGGAGTCTTTTATGTGCCTTTGACCACCAGCCCCATTATTTAATATAGGTATAATACAAAAACCCACTAATCCTGGTTGAGTCCATAACTAATCGTTTTTAGTTCAGTTTAGCATGGTTTCGTAGGATGCTGATATTGACATGGCACAATGAGTTCCATGCCAGAATTTGAATATAGAGTGGCTTTAAGTAGGGATTTTACTATAACGCTGTGGCTTATGTGACTTAGTAATGTACAGTAACCAGGCCACTAATATACCCCGTACTGCAAGCAGAAATGAGGTCTGACGCTTCGTCTTTATTACTTAGCAGCTGCCTGTGTTTGCCTAATCCAGAGGCTTGAAACATTTTGCATTTGTCTAATGGTTTTCATTCCAGAGATGTCCAGAAGATGGCAGCCTTTATCGTCCTGTACTCTGACCATGTTACGTGATTCTTTAGTAAAAATCCAAACATGGTTTTACATTGCAAATAAAAAAAGTAGCTGAACAACTTCATGACTCTAAAGGGACTTGGGTAATAATAATCATTGTGCCGCTTATTGTTTTTACTGTTATTTTGTTCCTACAGCAGATTACACCGTAGTATGAATAAAACTGGTCACATTACATAGGAAATAAACCCAAAACCAAAAATATAATACATTGCAGCTTCCCAGTCAATAGTTGTGGTGACTGCATTGGTTTTCTTTAAGCTTTTTTTTCCCCCTTTGTTTTCACCTGGTGATCTGGCCAGTAACACACATTCTGTTTTAGAATGCCCCCTCTTCGGATGAATGAGCACAGGAAGCACATTTGGTCATGTATTGTCAGTCTGGTTGGAGGAAAGTGTTAGATGGACTAGCAGATTTAGAAACATTAACAAATTGAAGCCAAACTCCAACTCACACTGCAGTTATGCCAGCAGTTATAGCAACAGTCTTATTTTCCTTTAGCCCCGATTCACATATATGCGGGCCACATTTTTGCGGGCATGAGAGCTCATTCATTTGAATGGACTCCCGTGCCCCGTGACACACAGGGAAGAAGTCCCTGCAATCCTTCTGAAAAAGTAGCTTAGAACTAATGGCACCCTCCCGCGGGTCCGCATTCCTCTGTGCAGGTGGTGCAGTTGCATGGATTTTCGTGCAGATCCGCAGCGGCACCACCCGCACAAATGTGAACCTAGCTTTAGGGTAAAGGTTTTACATGAATAAATAAAAGCTGATCATTTTAAACACTCCTTTCAGTGGTAAATGGTTTGTCTCAACACTCTTAAAGTGGTTCTGAAGGCTAAAGATTTTTTACCTTTGTGTATTCTATACAGGAAGGTAAAAAACCATCTATGTGCAGTGGCACCCCCAATCCTTACCTGAGCCCCCTCTGATCCAGTGAAATTCTTGACAACCTCTGCTGACTCAGTCTCTGCTGCTCTCCCATTGACTCTGGCTGCTGTCAATCACAGCTAGTGAGCCAGTGAGAGAGCGGCGGTTGGGACCAAGCTGCAGCTGTGTGTCTTATGGACGCATAGAGCAATGGCTCAGGAACGAGCTCACACTGGTGCCCCCCCAAGGCAAATGGCTTTTCTTGGGGTTACTGCTCAAGGGGTAGGAGCTGAGAGCGCTGTTGGGGAACTGAAAAAAAGAGCATCTGGGCTGCCCTGTGCAAAACCACTACACAGAGCAGGTACGTATAGACATGTTTGTATTTTGTTTTGTTTTTTAAACCCCAAAGCTTTAGTGTCACTTTAAGTGATACGTTTGTAGGAGAGCCTGGTCTGTTGAAAAACAGACTTACAGATCACCAAAGAAGACTTGAAAAAGAAACGTGCAGCCATCACATCTAAGAATTGGTAAGCTGCAATGTAAAAAAAAAAAATTTGCTTTTGGGTTTAATACCACTTTAAACAGGGGTGACTGAGGTGTGACAGTGCCCCATCCTGCACTGCTGCCATAAATACCCACTGCTGGCATAAATACTGCTGGCATAAATACCCACCTATTGTGCGGATTTTGGTGAGGTTTGAGGTCTGAAAAGAATTAGAAATATAATGGGTGGCAGGTAATGCCACAAATGTATATGTATTTAGCTGTCTGGCTGGCAGGAAAGGTGATGCAAGCCTGCACCTATGCATTCTCCTAAACTCTTTACCTAGAATTTATAGACTGGTGCAGACAGATTTTGTGAAAGTGTCTTACATGCGTTCTAAAAGCGGTGCGGCATGCGCCAAATTTATGTCTCCTCTCTAGAACATGTACTTGAATTTGGCGCATGCCGCACCACTTTTTGAATGCATGCGAGACACTTTCACAAAATCTGTCTGCACCAGGCTCTCGGTGTACGCCAAAAGACAGTTGGTCCTAATGATCTCCACTTTAGTAAGATCGGATTCTATCTTTCTTGCAGATTTTGGATGCAGTGCCAATGCCATATTCTTTCTGTTTCAGGATTGGCCGTGATGCACTCACAGTCCACCAATCAGCTCGATGTTGGAAATAACCCCCGGTGGGGACAAAACGATACATGGCTCCAGAAGTTTTAGATGAGACAATCCAGGTAGACTGTTTTGACTCTTACAAGAGAGTGGACATTTGGGCTTTTGGACTGGTCCTCTGGGAAGTTGCCAGACGAATGGTTAGCAACGGTAAGTTTTTGTTTTTCCAGTCTCCCACCTTCTATTTCGCCCTATCTCTCTCCGTCCTGGCGCTGTCATTCTTAGAACCGCTGGCTCAGGCTTCTATTTTCAACTTAGAAAATGTTTGTTGAGTGTTTAGATCTGAACTGTCACCCAGTTTAAGGATTTGTGTTGCTGGGTTTCAGCGTTTTGTCTGGCGAGTCTCCTTAGCTGCCCTCTGAGGGCGTTCAAAGTTACATCCATAAATATAGCTCTGTTTATTTCAGCTATAAATAAGGGCATTTTATTTTTACTACACGGACAGAATTGTAGTTATGTTTATAAGTATGTTTATTAATAATGCACTTTTCCTGCCAGTATCAAATTCACTATATATTCTTGATGTTCCAAATTCCATAACTCGTTTTTTCTTGTTTTGTTAATTTTTTTTTTGAAGATCACCGTGCTCCCCAAACAAATGTGAAAAAAATAAAAAAATAAAAAACAACAGTGTATGTACAGTTTTGTTCAAAATAATAGCAGTCAGACATCACTAACCCGATCATTTACTGTTTTTGGTAGAAATGATATTTCTACATGGCAAATAATTTACTAGCAGGTATAGTAGAGTAATAGAAATCCAACAGACCCAACAGTCATGACATGCATGCTGCTGATTCCGTGTAATTGAGTCACTAATTGAAAGGGGCATGTTCAAAATAATAGCAGTGTGGAGTTCTATTAGTGAGGTCATTCATTCTTTGAAAAACAGGTGGCAATTATTGCCCTTATTTAAGGAAGGAAGGCAGCAAATGTTGTACATGCTGGTTACAGTGCATTCCTCTCTGAAATTCTGAGGAAAATGGGTCGTTCCAGACATTGTTCAGAAGAACAGCGTACCTTGATTAAAAAGTTGATTGAAGAGGGGAAAACATATAAAGAAGTGCAGAAAATGATAGGCTGCTCAGCTAAAATGATCGCAAATGCTTTAAAATGGCAACCAAAACCTGAAAGACGTGAAAGAAAGCGAAAAAACTACCATTCGAATGGATAGAAGAATAGCTAAAATGGCAAGGACTCAGCCAACAATCAGCTCCAGGAAGATCAAAGAAGGTGTAAAGTTACCTGTGAGTACTGTTACAATTAGAAGACATCTATGTGAAGCCAAGCTATCTGCAAGAAGCCCCCGCAAAGAGACATACATCAGAATACTTGAAGAGGAAATGCCCTTGAAATGGGTGTTCCAACAAGACAACGACCCCAAACACACCAGTAAACGTGCAACATCTTGGTTCCAGACCAACAAGACTGACGTTATAGAGTGGCCAGCCCAATCCCTGGATCTTAATCCAATAGAAAACTTGTGGGGTGACATCAAAAATGCAGTTTCTGAGGCAAAACCAAGAAATAGAGAAGAACTGTGGAATGTAGTCCAATCATCCTGGGCTGGAATACCTGTTCACAGGTGCCAGAAGTTGGGTGACTCCATGCAACACAGATGTACAGCAGTTCTCAGAAACAGTGGTTATACAACTAAATATTCATTAATTGATTCAAAGGAAAGCAAAATCTTCAAACATTTTTCAGTTTCTATAGTGAATGTTTGAGTTTGTAAAGAAGAATACAAACACTGCTATTTTTTTGAACAGTCTAATATTCACTTTTCTTCACTTTTTTTTAGAGGAACAACACAAATTTGATATATTTTTCTTCATGTTTTGATTTGGAATAGAATGTGTAGTGTTCCCAATGCATTTGTGTGTATGGAAATAAAAGCTATTAGAAGGATTTTGAGCTTTATTCACTTTTTTCAACACCCTGCTATTATTTTGAACACAACTGTATATATAATAAAATATGTCGCAGCTTGTTACTGTCATGCGTTTCCAAACCTCTTGTGTAAACCACCAAAGTATAGTGCAACACGTAAATACTAATAATTCGATCCCACAGTGTCAAATCACCAATGTACAATATTTCTCAAAGTCTCCTTTATGTGCAACAAACAACATCAACAATATATAAAATGTGAATAATCACTAGCTATAATATATATAGTATAAATATAATCATTATAAAACTCAAATCCACAATTCTCTTCACAAATTATGTATTCTTATTGTGATCTCGGGTGCAAAAAAAAAAAAAGTATGTTTCACCAGTAAAATGCACCACTTCTCAATAGAGCCTCTTACCTCCACGTCTTACCTCCACAAGAGTAAGGTCAAACAGTGCTTTCCCAGTGATCTGGGTCGCAATCCTCCAATGCGTCTAGAAATCTAGCCTGCATACTACTCCCGGGCTCCAGCCCATTCACCAAAAATAAAATGTGTGTATGTATATATATGTATATATATATGTATGTGTGTGTATATGTGTGTGTGTGTGTGTGTGTGTGTGTGTGTGTGTGTGTGTGTGTGTACCTTTCACGGTTTATTATTAAAACTAAATTGGCTTTTATTAAAAAATAAAGAATAACTACTCACAAGTAAAGTGCACTTTCCAATCCAGTGCACAAGTTAGTATCGGCCTTTAAGGATATAAAAACACGTTGTCCACTTAGAAAAGACATCAGTGTAAGCATATGTATAGATGGCCTGCTACCTGACATGTTTCGTCATATGATCGGTGACTTCCCCATAGTTTGTTTTTTTTCTTTTTGTTTTGTTTTTTTGGTGATTTGCTGGCCCCCTCCACTATTGCAAAATGTACTGGTTGCCCCAGGTGAACTACACACAGGAGTCCTTTTACCTGTTTATATTCTGTTCAGCCACATGGTGTGATAGGGATGGGCGATTCACCAGACAAAAGTTTGCATTGCAATACACATTCATTTTTAGAAAGTCATGAAGGGCTTCTGTACTATTCGGCTAGAGTTATGTGGGTCACCCTCTAAAGTGAGCGGAGGTGTTTGCAGTGAAGGATGCTTCTGATATTACAGCTTAAGCCGGCCAGCCATGGATTGAAATTCAGCTGATTCATCAGTTATCGGCCGAGATTCGATGCATGTATAGGCAGGCGATCTATCGACTTTGGTACAGCCAGCCTGTCAGATGTTTTACATTCACTTACTGCTGGCAGCTATAGCTGCTAGCAGTAATCACTGTGTCCTGCTGGCCAGGAAGGCTCCCCCACCTCTCTCCACCGCCAGCAGAACACTAAGCACTGCAGGAAGCACTGTGTTAATGGGGGAATTGAGAGGTTTTGTTTCCTCCCACCCAATACGTAAGTTGTGTATGAAGTAGGTCCATGAATCTGGGATAAGTAAGTTGTGTATGAAGTAGGTCCATGAATCTGGGATAAGTAAGTTGTGTATGAAGTAGGTCCATGAATCTGGGATAAGTAAGTTGTGTATGAAGTAGGCCCATGAATCTGGGATAAGTAAGTTGTGTATGAAGTCGAGTGGCCTGCACAGAACCCCGCCCTCAACCCTATTCAGCACCTTTTTGATAAACTGATACTTCGAATAAAAATCAGGTCTTCCCATCTAATCCTATCTGACTTCACAAATGCTCTTGTGGAAAGCCGTCCCAGAAGAGTGGAGGCTGTTGTAGCAGCCACAGGGGTTGGGTTGGAAATGGGATGTCCAACAAGGCCAAATAGGTGTGATGGTCAGGTGCCTCCAGATCTTTGCCAGTATAGTGCAAATGACCTGTATGTGATCTTGCTGGATTATTGCTTGAGCTACACTATTACTTTGCCTCTGATTGCAGTTTTTATTTCCCCTACTAGAAGCTTGCTTATAAAATTGGCTGAGCTGGATATCAGACCACACATCATTTCAGTTTGAGGAAAAAAATATTCTTATTTAAATGGGCAACCTGGAAATTAATCTGCGGGATAAAGCTTTTTTCCAAATAGTGAGCCCAGGGATTTTAACTGCTACCCATCCTTCTTAAGCATCTCCCCGTCATTTGAATGAGCTGCTGTACCCCGCGAAATGCAAAAAAGATGTCCCCGCACTTCTTTTAAAATTGCAGCTCGCATGGGAACCAAGGTCCCCAGTGTGGGTGCAATTTCCATTGCGGGCAGTGTGCCAATAAGACTAATGGCACCCACCTGTGGGTTCCTTGTTTTACTGTGTGGATGGTTACAGCTGCCAGAATTTGTATGAGTCCCGCAGCGTTACCACCAGCACATATGTGAACCTACCCTAAAGGAATTGTTTTTTTTTTTTATCAAAATCATACTTACCTAGGTGGATTAAGCACTGATTCAATGCTGCATCTCTCCCCCGCTGGCTCTAAGGCTGATTTCTCAGTGATCAGACACTGCTGATTGGTCCGTTCTCCCCGCCGAACTGAACAGAGTGTGGTGACACTGTCAGTCACCGCTCTTTTCTCTGCCCCCCATTCGTGGAGGGGGCTGGAGCAGCTGGCTCAGGATCTCAGCAGCTCGCTAAGAGGCTGAGCTTGGCTGCTGGGTGGATCCCGACCATATGGTCGCAATCTTTCTCTAACCTGGACTGGCTCTGTGACATTTGCCGACAACAGGCTTTAGAACGCTGTTGGCTGAAAATGGGTCACAGGAGTGCAGAACAAACTGCACTCCTGTGATCCACAGTAGTACAGCCAAACGAACTTTGCCTGTACTTCTCGTTTAAATCATTTTCTGCTGTATTGGGTTTGGGCAAGCATTTTTTCATATGGCCACCATCCTTTAGCCACTTTTATAAGGGATTTATTAAATAGCAAGTGTTCCTTTTAAAAAAAAAAAAAAAAAAAAACAAAACAGGTCATAGGAAATGTACACAACTTGATATTATGTAGTGTATTTGGTGTCATCCTTTCAGGACAGTCTGTCAGTATGTTCCTATTTTCCTAATACACACTTGTCTGGTTCTCCTGGATCTTGGCTGCAGACGATGAAGCACTTTTAACTTATTTGGCTCTTTCCTTCCTCGTGATCTCGGCGGGTACATGCTGTTCTGTCGGTGTTTCCTCTATCCCACCAGCGCATAGCAATGCCCGCCAGGCATCATTTTTGTTACCACGTTTTCATTCGGGACCTGTCAAGTGTAAGTGCTGGACGGTTGTATTTAGAAATTTTGGAAATAATGAACTGTGATGAAATTCAAGGAAGATATGAACTTATTACGACAAAAGAACTTGTATAAACGTGATAGAAAATATGGCTGTTCCATGTTGTATCCATTCATGTATGAGGTCTTTAGTGGAATTCCAGCTTACACTGAACTAGCCTTAAAACTGACCCATCCCCCTTCCTAACACCTACACTAACCTGTGTACCAAAGATGTACTGTATATGCTTACCTATTTTCAGGCCATTCCGGTCCATTCACGTGATCCAGCTACTCTGTGTTAGCCAGCGGTGGCTACAGGGGAGAGAAGAGAGCAGTCCAATAATGGCTGGTAAAGCCCGGAGTGGTGACGTCGCCCATTGCCTTCAGTGGCCTATCGGCGCTCCCTCCTCTCCTCTGCAGCCACTGCTGACACATGGGAGCTGGATCACGTGACTGGAGTGTAGTGGCCTGAAAGTAGGTAAGTATACATATCTTGATTACACAGGTTAGTTACTATAGGTGTTAGGAGAGGAAAGGGAAAAATTTAAAGGCTAGTTAGGTGTAAGCTGGAATTCCACTTTAATTGTCAAACTAAACAAGGCTATATATATGTGTGTGTGTGTGTGTGTGTGTGTGTGTGTGTGTGTGTGTGTAAACAATATATAATATAGAACTTCCATTTATACAATTAAAATAAAATTGACCCTAAACTATACTTTCCCTTTTTAAGGCAATGTCGTTGATAGTAGACCTAGGCTCAGCTCAATTATCCGAAGCCTTTCGCTTTTTATTTAGTCATTGGTGCTGTTTTCCAGGTATTGTTGAAGACTACAAACCTCCGTTTTATGATGTTGTCCCAAACGATCCCAGCTTTGAAGATATGAGGAAAGTTGTTTGTGTGGATCAACAAAGACCAAACATTCCCAACAGGTGGTTCTCAGACCCAGTGAGTATCCTTTAGCACAATAATAATTGCAATACAAAAAAACAGATACACCTAAGGATGCCATTTATAGAGCAGCTGTATGACCATACTGGGACCATATTGCTGCTTTGAAGAAGAAGAAAAATTTGGAAACCTTAATAAAACACAGCGACGTGCATTAGGTATTGCTTGCGTCTGGACTCAGAAACAAGCAAAGTATCATTCATTTTAATGAATTTTAATAAAAAACAGAAAACTGTTACTTGACTTGTCAGTCATGTGACCGGCTTTGCCTCCAAAAACCGAATATTGGGTTGCTTTCACACTGATCTGTTTTTCTTCCACTTTTGCGTTAAAAATAATTTAAAAAAAAAAAGCGGAAGAATAATGTGTGACCATGTAATCCTATGGAACTCTTCACAGTGATACGTGGCGGGTCTGCCTCATTTTTAAAATCCTGCTTGCTGCATTTATGGTGCAGGTTTCGCACAGTTAAAGAAAACACACCTCCCCATTGAAATGAATAGAAATGCAGCAAAAATGCATGCACGTTGCGTTTTTGGTGCAGTTTTTGAGACGCATGTCCTGTAAAAAATGGAGCGCATCAGTGTGAAAGTACGGATCAGTGTTACCGTAGCCTTCTGCAGAGAATTGCAGGTTCCACACCGCATCCAGTATAGAGATAACGGTGTCTACTCCTCACCTATAAATAGGCTCTTATGTTTCTAAAAATGGATCAATTCAGATGGATTAGGAAAGATATTAATATCAAGTCCCAACTTAAATAATCAGTAGAAGAAAACCAATTATTCATTTAAAGAGCATATCAACCCATGTGTACTTTCTGTACCATGTATTTGTATGAAAAAGTATCCTGTTCTCTTTGTATTGCTTCCTTTGTGTGAAATCCCTGGTGTTCCTGCCGGGCCCTCTTCTTCCCTATTAAAAACTTACCACACTAGACATGAGAGCACAGTGTGGTCAGTTCTCTAGCTGTGCTGGGGACTCTGCCTGCTCTCCTCCAATCATCAGACTTGTGCTGACACCCGTCCCCTCGCACAGCCATTAATTGGGGAGATCAGTGTGTTGCTATTTCTCCTCCCCCAGCTCCTATGCAGCTGAGAACAGAGGGTATGCAATCACTTATAAAAAAAGTAACTGTGGCTGAACAAACTACCAAATACAGGCCTGCTGTGTTTCTGCACAGTGTTCTGTACCTGTAAATGGCCAGTCAAAGGAGAAAAACTGACCAAGCAAACAGGCATCAGGTTCTGTGCTTTGGGCAGCTTAGAACAAGGAAGAAAAGAGACTGGCAGGATCAACCAGGAACTTTAGAGGACGAAAGTGCATGAAAATGATAGAAAATATAATGTCTAAAATACACAGATGAAATGCGTAACGATTTACACGTTTCTGCTGCAGCACAGTACTGTCTGGCAGGGCAAGAAACTGGATTTTTCTCGGCTGCCTTTACATAATACATACAGGTCTGCTCCCCTCTTTCAGCCTGTGATTGGACTGTAAGGAGAAGCATCAAACTGATGATCTTATCTCTGTCAGTCTGCTTTCTCCTACTATCAGCATGTTCTTTGTTAGCATATGAACTGACTCCTTGTGCTGCTTCTCCTTCTCTCTCTCTGCACGGACTTAGTGATGCTCCCTAGACACATTTCTCCTGGCAGTAGAAAAAACGCTTGACACTTGTAAATGTGTGTGTCGCATTTAGTGGCGTCAAGTGCTTGGGCATTATTTTCAATTATTTTTTGGGTGGAATATTAAATTATTCTGGCCATTGAAATAAATTAATTCTCAGAGTGCTAAACGCATCTAGCATTAACATATGTTTAGATGCGTTTACACGCCTTTACTGCGTCAAGTATTTTTTGCTCAAACTCTCGTCTACTGAACGTGATTCTTCTGCGTTCATGAAAGGAGCATTTTACTGCCTCTAAATGCAGCTGATCCTAAACTCAGGTAAAAGCCCGCGTGTGTGCATAGACACATAGGTTTTTATTGAGGCAATTTCAGCGACTTTAGCAAAAAAAGCTAAACGCTCCAAAAACGTGGGTGTAGGAGCAGCAGTATGCATGAGGTCTTATACGGAGTCAAATTCAAGTACATTCCTTGCATCTAAAAAAAATACACTTTGTGGTATATTATTATTATTCAGGATTTATATAGCGCCAACAGTTTGCTCAGCACTTTACAATATAAGGGAGACAATACAATTACAATACATTTCAGTACAGAAGGAATATGAGGGCCCTGCTCATGGAGCTTACAATATTAATACAGAGCTGCAAGGAGTTCAGGTTTAAAAGTCAGCATCTACAAAAAACTGTAGCTGCTGACTTTTAACCACTTCCCGACCGGCCGTTGTATATAAATGGCCGGACGGTGGCAGTGCAGGATCGGGTGGCCGTTTATAAACGGACTCCCCGCACCCTGCTTGTGCGTGCTCCCTGGGAGCGCGCAGCACCGCGATCCAGTGCCCGCTGTGTCCTCCGGACACAGTGAAACACCGATCATGGGACGGACCTCTGTACGAGGTCCCGATCATGTGATCACTGATTGGCCGATCATGTGATCACTGATTGGCCAATCAGTGATCACATGCAAAGTAGTAAGCAAGATGTCACTTGTGACGTCATCACTTACTACGTGTGAAATCTGTGAATGATCACAGAGGTCACATGGTACAAGGCTATTCACAACAGCCTTGTACCATGTGACAAGCTGTGACCAATCACAGCTCACTCAATACTTCTCAATGACTGCAAGAATGCAGACAGAGAGAAATGATTGCTTTTACATCCTATATGGGTGTAAAAGCAATCAGTGTAAAAAAAAAAAAAAAAAATCTTCATCACCCCCCACAAGTAAGTACAGTGTTACCATGGTGACACTGTACTGCTAGGGTGACAGTATGTAAAAAAAAATAAAATAAAATAAAAAATAATATAAAAAAATAAAATAAAAATGTAAAAAAAAATGTTTAAAAATTATAATTTTTGGTTATAAACTAATTCTGGATTTTTTTTTTTTTTTTTTACTAAAAAGATAACGGAATAAATTTTGGCCAAGATTTATGATGAAATATTATTTATTTGCAAAATTTTATAAAAAAAAAACAACACTTTTTTTCAAAATTTTTGGACTTTCATTTACATAGCAAAAAAAATAAAAATCCCAGCGGTGAATAAATACCACCAAAATAAAGCTTTATCTGTCTCAAAAAAATGGTAAAAAATTAATTTGGGTACAGTGTTGCATGACTGCGCAATTGTCATTCAAAGTGTGATAGCGCTGAAAGCTGAAAATTGCCCTGGTCAGGAAGGGGGAGAAAGTGTCCGGTCTGGAAGTGGTTAAAAAAAACACACACTCACTGGTCCCTTGGTCCCGCGGTGTGTCTCCTGCAGCCCATTTTACCGGCCATCTTCTCTCCCTGGGCGCCGGCATCTTCAGTGTGGGCACCCGGCTGTGACAGCTTGCAGCTTCACAGCCGGGTACCAACTGCGCATGCGCAAGTAGCGCTGTGCTTCCTGAATGGTCCATTAGTCTTCTGGGACCTGTCAAGTGTGGACACCTTCCACTTCCGATCGCCAGTGGGAGCGCGGGTACCTGTCAAATTCGGGTACCCACTCACCCCCGGCCACCCAAAGGTGCCAATCCTAAATGAGGAACGGGGGACCAGTCTTTAAAGCAGAACTTCCCCTTTTGGATGGAGCTCCGCTTTAACCTTTGGGGGGGGGGGGGGGGGGGTAGTCTTTTTATGAGCAGATTTTAATGCTGAATTGTAGAATATGTTGTCACACCTGCAGAGTAGCACTTGCATCCTATGCCACTTCATGATATCTGTATCTTTTATGCTCATATACATTTTCACTTTTTGCAGACGCTAACATCACTTGCTAAGCTGATGAAGGAATGCTGGTATCAAAACCCCTCCGCGAGACTCACAGCCTTGCGCATCAAAAAGACTTTAACCAAAATTGACAATTCCTTAGATAAACTGAAATCAGACTGCTGAAGATTTGTCGGCACTGCCGCCACATCCGTGCATCAATTGTACGACAAAACAAAAAATGTTTAAACTACAGTGCTTGCCTGCCGAGGTGTAGACTTTGTTTTCAGTTCTTTTCATGTGCGACTTTTAAACACATACATGCCTGTTTATGGAGACAATCCCGCTATGGAACACTGAAACCTCGATGGATTACTTTAGTGCACATTTGGCACAGCTCTGCCTTCCAAGCAGCCGCGACAGCTGGGTGATTGGCAAAGATCCGGATCTGAAGGGGCAATGTAGAAATTTCAGTACCGATCTGGGCATTAAAAGGTGAATTTGGAGGTAAAAATAAAAAAAAGTGATCGCTTCTTGGCCACTTCTAAGGAAATCACGCGGATCTTATCGGATCTTAACTAGCAATACTTTACGTGCTTCTCTGTTTGATTGCACTACAGATTCCTCGCATTCCTTACTTGCACTGTAACGGTTTCATTTTAATTGACCGATGCCAAATATAAGATTGGCCATGTACAGATCGATGTTGCGAATTATACCCATCCAGTTTTTTGGGAATGATGTAAAAAAAGAAAAGCCTAATATAAGAGTTGTCAGCGCTGGCTGCCTCTTACGTGTACTGATGTTTACAATAATGCTGAACATAAGATTTTTTTTTTTTTGACTGTATGAAATTTTCAAAATTATTTATTACTAGTGCACTTAATGGTTTCCAGAAAAAACTGAACAGTGCAAAAGGCTATCACTACATTTTGTGTTTTTTATTTTTTTTTTTTTGGTTTTACATTTAATTTTGTAACACATTTATGATAAGGAATAGACTTTTTTTTCATGTTCTATATGATCACATTGCATCAAGGCACATTCTTCTTTCTCCATATTGAGAAGTTGTGTGGTCTATATCCATTGATGTTTAGGATTCTGAACCTTATCGCAAGTGTCGCACCCCTTTTTCCAGCTTGCCTTTTATTGACATAGGAAACGAAGACAAGATGTAAAAGGTCCCTTGGAGAGATTCTAGGTACTCGTTAAAATATAAAGGGAGGGTGGGGGAGAGAGAGATGCCTTTCTTCTTCTAAGCTATGTAATATGTTGCGTTGTAAACTTTGCCAGAAAATAACTATTTTGTTTTAATCTACTTTTTGTATTTAGTAGTTATTTGTATAAATTAAATAGAATGTTTTGAAGTCTGAAAGAGTTTTTATTTGCTACAAGGACACAAAAACAGTAATAACATTATGAGCACTGACAGGTAAGATGGATAACATTCTCATTACAATGAAACCTGAAACATGTTGCCTCCAAAGTTGATGTGTTGAAAAAATGGGCAAGGTAAGGACTTGAGCAACTTTGACAAATTGGCAAAGTTGTAATGGCTAGATGGCTGAGTAGGTGCATTTCCAATATGGTAGTTCCTGTGGGATGTTCCTTGTGTACAGTGCTCAGGACCTACCAAAAAATGCCTCAGGATGGAAAACCAGAGAACCAAAACAGGGTCATGGGGGGCCAAGGATGGATGATGCACGTGGGGAGCAAAGGCTGGCCTGTGCAGTCCGATCCAATAGAAGAGCTACTGTAGCTCAAATTGCTGGAAAAGTTATTGCTGGTTCTGATACAAAAAAGGTATTGGAGCACACAGTGCATTGCAGTTTGCAGAATATGGGACTGCAAAGCCGTAGACCAATGATGGTGCTCATGCTGACCTATGTCCACAGCCAAAAGCACACACAATTGACATGTGAGCATCAGAACGGGACCACGGAGCAATGGAAGAAGGTGGTCTGGTCTGATGAATTCAGAAATCCAATCAAGCATCTTGGTTGTGCTGGAAAAACAAGTCTGATCCATGTAAACCCCATATCGCAACTTACAGAACTTAAAGGATCTCCTTTCTGACAGCTTGGTGCTAGATACCACAGCATACCTTCAGAGGTCTAGTGGAGTCCATGTCTTGACACGGGTTTATCAAATGTATTGGAAAAAACACAGTACTGTGCAAAAGTTATAGGCAGTTGTGAAAGAATGCTGTAAATTAATAATGCTTTCAGAAATAAAAGTGTTAATAGTTAATTTTTAGCAATTAACAAAATGGAAAGTAAAGAAATTCAAATCCCATCAATATTTGGTGGGATCACCCTTTGTCTTCAAAACAGCATTAGTTATTTTAAGTACACTTACACAGTTTTTCAGTTTTTTGAAGAAACCTGGCAGGTAGGTTGTAGCAAACATCTTGGAGAAGCAACTGTGGATCTTCTGTGGATGTAGGCTGGCTCAGATCCTTCTGTCTCCATTTAATCCCAGACTCAATGTTGAGATCAGGGCTCTGTGGGGGCCAAACCGCCACTTCCAGGACTCCTCGTTCCTCTTTACTCTGAAGATAGTTCGCTGATAAATAGCTGAAGACATATTCTGCAGCAGGAAAACGACCCAAACTTGCAGCTAAAATTTGGGGCCAATCACACGCCTCCCTGATGGTATGGCATGATGAATAAGTATCTGCCTGTATTGAGGACACCATTGATACAGACCAAATCTCCAACTCCATTTGCAGAAATACAGCACTAAAACTTGCAAGGAACCTCTCTCCATCATTATTGTACTGGTCCCCATCCCTTTGGTGTTCACACTGCCTCCTGCTACAGTCAAATATTTAGAATTCTGGCTCATCAATCCAGAGCACCTGCTGCCATTTTTCTGCACCCAATTCCTATATTTTCATACATAGCTGAGTCACTTAGCCTTGTTTCTACATCGGAGGTATGGCGCTTTTTGGATGCAATTCTTCCATGAAGACCCCTTCTGGCTGGACTTCTCCAGACAGTAGATGAGCATACCTAGGTCCCACTGGTTTCCACCAGTTCTTTGCTGATGGCACTGCTGGACGTCTTCAGATGTCAAAGGGAAGTGAGCATGATGTCTTTTATCTGCTGCTTTGTTTCCTTGGCCGACCATTGTGTCTACAGTCCTCAACATTGCCTGGTTCTTTGTTCTTCTTCAAAAGAGCTTGATGAATTGATGCTTTAGGCCAAACGGTAGTCACACGAAGTATTGATCGAAGTATTCTTCTGTTTGCTCACTTTGCATTTTGTAATTTGTTAACAAATAACGAAAATTTATACACTGGGTAAAATAATTATTGGACACGCCACCAATTTTCTAAGTAAATCTATTTCTAAAGGTGCTATTGGCATGAAATTTTTACATGTCTGTAACAACCTATGCAAAGAAACCTATACATACAAAGAAACCAAAAAAATACTTTCAGAAATTAAGTTATGTGTAATAAAATGGAATGGCACTGGGACAAAGTATTGAACACGACTGACTGAAATTTATCTAATACTTGGTACAAAATCCTTTGTTGGTAATGACAGCTTCAAGACGCCTCCTGTATAGAGAAACTAGTCACATGCATTTCTCAGGTGTGATTTTGGCCCATTCTTCCACACAAATTTTCTTCAAATCTTGAAGGTTCTGTGAGCCTCTTCTATGTGATCTTTAATTCTTTCCTTAGATTTTCTGTTGGATTCAAGTCAGATGATTGGCTGGGTCATTCTAGCAGCTTTATTTTCTTTCTTTGAAACCAGTTGAGAGTTTCCTTGGCTTTGTGTTTGGGTTCATTGTCTTGCTGAGATGTCCACCCTCGTTTCATCTTCACCATGCTGGTAGATAGCAGTAGATATTTATCAAGAATGTCTTGGTACATTTTACCATTCATCTTTTCTTCAAAGATATGAAGCTTGCCAGTACCGTATGCTGAAAAACAGCCCACGCCATGCTGTTCCCAAATCCCGACTTCACTGTTGGTATGGTGTTTTTGGGGTGATGTGCAGTGCAATTTGACCTTTAAACGAGCTTCAACATGCTTTATTTTCAGCAATGTAGTCTTGTATGGTGAGCTTGCATACAGGCCATGGTGGTTGAGTGCATTACTTAATGTTTTCTTTGAAACAATTGTACCTACTAATTCCAGGTCTTCCTGAAGCTCTCCACAAGTGGTCCTTAGCTCTTGGACAACTCTTCTGATAATTCTTTTCACTCCTCTGTCAGAAATCTTGCAAGGAGCACCTGGTCGTGGCCAGTTTATGGTGAAATTATGTTCTTTCCACTTCTGAATTATGGCCCCAACAGTCCTCACTGGAACATTCAAAAATTTAGAAATACTTCTGTAACGAATGCCATCAGTATGTTTTGCAACAATAAGGATGCAAAGGTCTTGAGAGAGCTCTCTGCTCTTACCCATCATGAGATGTTTCTTGTGTGACACCTTGGTAATGAGACACCTTTTTATAGGCCATCAGTTGAGACTGAATCAGCTGATATTTATTTTTCACTGACAAGGGGCAGGATTGCTTTCTAATTACTGATAGATTTTAGCTGGTGTCTTGGCTTTTCATGCCTTTTTGCACCTCCCTTACTTCATGTGTCAAATACTTTTTACTGGTGTCATTCCATTTTATTACATGTAACTTAATTTCTGAACTTATTTGTTTTGGATACTTTGTATGTATGGATTGTATGGGTTGTTACTGACATTTGGTGAAAATTGTATGTCAAAAGCATCTTTGGAAATGTATTTACCCATACAATTGGTGACGTGTTCAATATTTCTATTACCCGCTGTATGTCTGAAAGCATTCTTACTTTACAGCATTTCTTCAAACCTGCCTATAACTTATTCAGTGTACTGTATGTACAGAAAAAAGAAAAATCCCCAGAGGTACATCTGGTAACAACTGAACATGAGTTTGATTTTTTTTTTTTCCAAGTTTTTTATAATTACAGATTAAATACATGCACTATTGGACAACAAAGCAACATGCAGTTATCATGTGAATGCTTGGGAAGGTAAAATGAGTAGAGTAGAGTAGAGCTTTAATCTGTGGGATGTATTGCAAGTATTACACTAAGGGATTAATGTGTATAGAATCCTTAATGTGTTTCTATAGCACTGTCTTAATCAGTGCAATTTGAAGTAGTGTGATTTTAAAAATCGCTCCTGCACT